TTTTTTTTTTGAAATCCAACAAAAGATTTAATTCAGAGGCAATTTAGTCTATCTACACAACTACAAAATAACTGAAGAGAAAGGAGAAGTCCTTGGATCTGAACTGAAATCGGGAACTGGCATAATCCCTTTCAAAACTCAGGTGGAAAGGAGGCACAGGGTCTGAGGGTGGTGCCCCAAGTAAAGAGCAACCTGACTTCTGAGTCCTCCTCAGACAGGGGCTTGTTAGAAGGAAAGGGGAGAGGGAAGCTGCTTCCTCTCTTGCCCTCAACCATTCCAGAGAATCAGGGAGCTCTTGTCCTTAGCACCTTCTTTTCCTGCCTTCAATTCCTCCAATGCTGGTCCCCCTGCCAGATGTGGTGTGACCATGAAGGACCCTACATAAATACACGTTATTAAGTGACTCCATTGGCACAATGTCGTAAGAATCAGAGCTTTGGAGGCAGAAATGACTCCCTTAGACAGAAGTCTGGGCTCTCAAGGGGCAATCACTGAGGTGCCAAGCATGGCTGGGTCTTCAGTCTTATTCAAAGGGTTCAGATAATTGCTCTGCCAGAATGGACCCATGGGAAGGGATGGAGTCAGACTACCTTTTATTTAAGGGTTGCAGAGCCTACGAAGCTTCGTGGATTTAGGGTACTTGCCTGAAATTTAAGTGGGAAGCCTAGGCTGGGCTACTCTTTCTGGTGATGCTGTTTGTGGCTATGTACCCAGGACAGACTGTGTGTGTGTGTGTGTGTGTGTGTGTGTGTGTGAGAGAGAGAGAGAGAGAGAGAGAGAGAGAGAGAGAGAGAGAGAGAGAGAGAGAGAGAGAGAGAGGGAGAGAGGAGTTCCCCCCTAGGGTCAGTATAAATACATGCGTGAACCAGGGAGTAAATAAACAGGTACCGTTTTAAATGTGTGTATGTCAATGAATGCAAGCATAAATATGTGTGGTTATTGGGGTGTGGGTGTGGTTTGTGTTGTGTTCTTTAGTAAATGTGTATCTGTGAGTATGTCTCTATGCCAGCTCCTTGGCTTCTGTAGGTGAGTATCTGTGTTTAGATATCTGTGGGTTTGAGGAGGTAAGAAGGCCTCTTTGCCTTGTGGCTGCCCAAGTTCAGACTTGGCTAAGTCCCTACACGGTTCTCGTGAGTCTTTCTGTCTGACAGTCAGTGTGTCCTGGCCGGCTTCTCCCTTCCCGCCTCCCTAATCTAAACCATGCGGATTCCTCAGTCCCTTCCTAACCCAGAAGAGCTGAATTGCCGGCCCAGCCCTAAGTGCTAGCGCGGGAGGCTGCTGGCCTCACTCAGCTTAGGGTATCGGGGTGTCGGGAGAGTAGATAGGAGTGGGGTGCAAGAGGAACTTGTCCCCCACCCCCATCCCAGCGGGATGGCGGGAGCAGTTCTGATTGACAGTAGCAACGTCAGCGCCTGAGGGGGGGGCCGGGCCGGGCCTCCGCCGGGCCGGGGGGGGGAGGGGGGGAAGGAGGGGGGGGGGGGGGGAAGGAGGGGGGGGGGGAGGGGGAGAGGGAGGGGAGGCCCAGCCCCAAACCTCAGCTTGCAAAGGAGATCAAGGGCCGGGCTCCAGAACTGGGATGCGTCGGGCCCTGAGGGTGAGGCGGGTGGCTGGACACTGACCCTGTCGGCTCTGAGCCCCCAACCTCTGCAGCCTCCATCCCCAGAACCCGTGAGTCTTCTCTTTCCCGGACCCCGGACCCATAGGTCCCCCGGGCCGCTGGAGCCTCCGGATGCGGCAGCCCGGCTAGCCCGAGCCCAGCCAGGGTAAGTGTCTGCGGCCCAAAGGATGGGGAGCACTTGGGGGAGCCGATGACTGGGGCCCATAGAGGAAAGGGTCCCGGCTCCTCCGAACCAGTGACAGCTTTGCGTGACGGGGGAGGAAACGCAGACTGAGAATAAAATTAAATCAGGGAACTGGGGATAGAAACGTGGGTCGATGACAGTAGCAGTATGGGGAAGGCATACGGAAGAAAAATGTGAATAACGGAACTGCTTGGGAAAAAAGAGAGGGCAAAACCACAGTCCATGGAGGTGGAATAACGGACATGAAACATGTCCCTGAGACTTCGGGGAAAACAGTAACGAAAAGACTACCATTCAAATAGTGAGCAAAAGTAACAGTGTTAATTCTCCTCCAAATAGAGAGGGGGAACGAATTATATAACATGAGATCAACAAGAATCCAAACGGTTAAAAAGGCAACACCGTAGGAGCGTGATTAGTCACCATTGTCCAAGCTATGGTGGCAATTTAAATGGGACTTCCTAGACCCAGGAACTTTTCACCCTCATCTGGGTTCCCAGACCGTCCAGAGCTCTGAGAGTCCATGAGGTTCTAAACATCCGTACATTTTTGAGAGTGATTTGAAATCTGCAACTGACAAGGCGACAGTAGCCTAAATAAGCCAAGTCGCTCCCTGACTGCTCTTTATAACTACTTTAATAACATTATAAATTATCCTAGAAGTAACTAGAACTATCGAGGCAGCATGACTGATAGCAGCCCAGGTACTTAGAGCAACAGTAACATTATTCATGACCGAAGAAATAACTAGAACGTGGATTGTGGAGACATTGACAAAGACCAGCGAAGCAGTAGCTACAGAGTTGAAAATGGTCAAGTACCAGAAATTATCGACCTGGTGCTATAATAAAGATGATGAGAGGAGAAAGATACATTAAGGACCCGGGAAGTATGTTTTAGATATCAATTTTCCTGAGATAACCAGAATACCATAGCCCTAGTCATGACAAGCAAAGCATAAAATAATAATAATAAAAACACTCTTCAGAATAACGGTACTCAATTGAAAAAGATTAAACCTAAGAGACAAATAGCACCTAAGGATTTTTTTAAAAAGGGAAACAGTAAAATGTTAAGTGAATCCACCGACTGAAATCGGGAAAGACAGTCACAGAGCCAATGGGTAGGAAAAAAGATGAATAATGCTATTAAATCTGAGATTCTGTGAACTGCAGTAATAACAGCAACGAGAGAAATTGGCTAATTGCAGTAACCCAAACAATTATGGGTCTTCGAAATGGCAGGAGCAGTAAAGATCTTTCTGTAAAGTGGTCGATGACCCAAAAATGACAATAACTGTACTAATAATATTCTTAAGGGAAGTGCAGGTTAAGGAGAATTTTAATTCAACATATTGGGAAGAAAAGCAAATGTCTCAATCAAATTAAAGAAGAGCTGCAATGGTTATGACGCCACAAATGTAGATTTTTTTCTTTTAAGAAAAAAGGGAAAAGAAAAAAGCAGGAAAGAGAAGAAGGGGGAAAAGAAAGGAAAGGAGAGAGAAGAAGTAATAGAGAGAAGGAAAAGAAATGAGAAGGGAGTCCAAAGGGAGAACCCGGGACCAGATAACGGGAATATATTAAAAACCGCAGAAATTGAAGGAATTGCTTCGGATTTGCCCCCCCTAAACCAGCGCACTCGCAGCTGGATGACTACTGCAAGCTTCCCCGGGGCTGGGAGACCCTCGTCTAAGTTACTGCCTTGCAAAGGTGAGAGAACTGATGGAAATGGAGGTTGAGATGCTGCGGAGGGAGAGTCATCTGCGAGTCCGCCCGCACAGCCGCAGTTTTGACAGCAAGACCAGAAAAGGAGAACTGCCTTAAAAGCCGGGAGAAGCCGAACACAAACCGGGGAAGAAGAGAATCCTAGCCTTCAAGGAGCCGGGAAACGCTCGCGGACCATAGTAACCCAAAGTTCTCCAGTGGCCACTGTGAGTGCAGTAACGGCACGAAGGACCGGCTAGGATGGAGCTGTTGTGACTTGGGTCACATCAAGATTGGAACAGCTATATTAACTGAAGGACAGCTGGGATCGCCCTCCACCGACTACAGGCGGCTCTTCTAGTCTCGGTCCTTGGCAATCCCACACCTCCTATCCCCTCAACGTCCAGGACGGTGAAGATTGGAAGGATCAGCGGTTCCTATCAGACAGAGGACTTGGTTAAACCTAGCAGCCGCATTACCCGTTAGGCAGGGCCCGCTTCTCAGGTGAAATGGACCAGCTACCTGCTTTCCCCAACCCTCACCTCCAAGCCTCCTTGCCATAGACTTGGAAACCAGGCATCTCTGGTCTCAGCCGTAAGCTTCCCTGGGCTACTTGGCCTCCAGGCGGGCTTCTGGAGAGGTAAAGGCAGCGCTGAGGACCGAGGCTGCTGCTTACCTGGGGAAAATGGAGAGAAAGGCGAGAAGGGGATGCCCCTAGGGGCGCAGGACCCTGTCCGGGCGGTCGGTGCCTAAAGATCCAGAGGAAGGCCTGAGCCTGGCCGGCGCCCTGGGTTCTGAATGGGCGAGGACTGCACTCTGCACAGCTTGAGAGGGAGAGGGCCTGGTGGGGTTCCTCGGGAGTCAGGGGACAGCCTGGATTTGTACATCTCTGGGGGTGTCTGGGGCTGGCTGGTACTGCGTTTTGGAGGAGGAGGTGTTTGAATTTTTGTCCTTGTACATACTTAGAGAAAACCTAACAGGATGGGACCTTTGTGATTATACGATTGAGCCTCTGCGGAGCGCAGCCTTTGGCCCTTTCCTGGAGTTTTCTTTCAGTGCCCCGGCGGAGGTCTCCCCGCTCCCTCTCCGCTGCCCAGAAGCAGGGCTAGGCTTACCAAGACCCGCTCGGTCTCTGGGTCCTCCCTCCCTGATTTCTGCCAGCCGCAGGACTCCGAGGCACGGAGAGGGGAAGTTGTTGGGTAAGGGCACCAGGGCCTCGCTCCCTGGCTTGGCCCTGTGGTAGCGGGGCCTGCTGGAGAAAGGCCGGGGCAGCGGAGTAGGAAGGGCTCTGGCCAGCCCATATTATTGGATGGAGAAGCGGAAATGATTCGCTTTTACAGTTTTCAAACTTTAATTGTTATTTTTAATTTCAAGATTAAGACAAGCCAAGGGGCAAGGGTGTCGTGGAGACCTCCAAAAGTCTAGGACACTCCTCTGTGTTTCCGCATCTCAATCATCATTTCTCTACGGCCTGCGTCTGAGTGTCTGTCTACGGGTCTGTCTGTCTGTCAGCGCTTATCTTTACGGGCTTTTCCCAGCCCCTGGCCTCGGCCGGCTTTTATCTCTTCGGTTGCACTTGGCTTGTTTATACTCAGAAGGCCCAGGGGGTGCAGGGTTGGGGGCGGGGAGCCGCCCTAGGCAAAGAGGAGTGGAGAGGAGCCCCGGCGTGGAGAGGAGATGCTAGCGGTGGGGGAGGGCAGGGAAGAAAGAAAAAGATGAAAATGGAGAACAGAGGACAAGAGAGAAGAAACAGAGGGGCAGAAGATTAGAGAACAGGAGAAAAGAGGGAAGAGCTAAGCCAAGAATGAAATAAAAACAAATAGGGAGAAAATAGAGATTAGTTCAGGGCTGATGAAAGGAAAGATTTCTAGGTTTCTTCGGTCTGTCGGTATTGGAGAGGTGAGAGTGGGTGAAGAGGGCAGGGATACTCACAGGTGAGGAAGTTGGGTCTAAGACCTCTAGGTAAATTAGCCTGTGAGTGTCAGGATGGCAGGAGCGCTGGTGCTTTAAGAACAGAAAAGTGGGTTTCTGAGACCTATGACCCTGGGTTACCCCTCTTCCCGGATGTTTCCAGTCCCTGGTTATTACACTGAGGTGGAATACTCCCCTCCCTTAGCTGAAAACATAGGGAGCCCTCAGTTTTGGAGTGAGTGTGTGTCTTAGTAAAGGTGTCTGTGCAGTGGTAATGTGTGTGCAGGGATTCTGAACGCTTAGACACAGAAGATTGGCTCATATTAAACTAAAATTAAAATACACAATTTTGAATTAAGTGGGCTGTAAAGAGAACTGGGGCAGCATGGAAGAAGATGTCTCTAAAATATCAGATTCTTCTCAGGTCACCCAGTTATTGGGTGACCATCTCTACAGTCCAAGCACAAGGCAGAACAGAGGCTTTTAACTAGGTCATTCAGGTCAAACCACTGGCTACTGTTTAGTTGGGCCCAAAAATATGAAATGCTTTTTTCTGAGCCTGGCCTGTGGAGGTCCAGTTTAGTCCTGTCTGCTAACACTGTCTGTCAGTGGCTGCTTGTGGTGTTTTATTGGAAAATGAAATATAGATTTCCCATTTCTATTGGTTTGCAAAGTGAACCCTTCAGTTTCGAGAGTCAGCTCTCCCCACCCTTGAGGACCTGTCTCTGGCTAGAGTTGCAAATCTGTGCCACACTCCCTTTCAGTGCAGGCCACAGTACACTCAGGATTTGGAATCAGAGAAATCAGGGCTGCTGGTGGTGGTGCCTCATCTTGGGGCAGGATCGTAATTGACAAGTGATAGAAGAGGATGGAGCCGGGTACCAGAGATGGGACTAGGGCTGGAGCTGGACACAGAAACACTGAGAAATATAAAGGCATATGAGGAGCTAAGAGCTGACCAAAGCTGCTGACAGAGCTAGGGATGGAGACATTCAGATGCTGAACAGAGCGCATGTACACATAGCCGGGGTGAAGTGGTACAGAAGAGGAGGGGCTCTGGGTATAGTATTGCCACATGAACTAGAGAGCAGCTCCCTGCAGGTGCTACTGGGCTCCTATACCTCCAGCGCCAGGACATCAGGTTCTGTCACAGGACCCTCGCTGTGACTCTAAAGTCACATTCTGCTCTGTATGTCTGTATATATCCCACAGGAGATGCTTCAGGACAAGGGCCTTTCTGAGAGTGAAGAGGGCTTCCGAGCCCCAGCCTCTGCACATGGCGAGCAGGCCTCAGCTCCAGAGCCAGCTTTGGGTGGACAGGGCCTTACTGGTACTCCCCTCAGCAGCCCCCAGGGCCAAGATGCTGAGCAGGTAGGAACTGGGGAATTAACTGGGACGGGCTGCTGATGGGATGGTAAAGAGGCTGGGGTCCACCAGAATTTCTGCCCAGAGGCCTCTGTATATTTATCTGGGAGAGTACCTGGGACAGAGAGGCCCTGGTGTTTGTCTCTCTGTAGATAGGACCTTCTCATAACTCTATCAGTCAGAGGACAATCGTGCCCTTACACACACACACACACACACACACACACACACACACACACATACAGGGCTGATGTGAGTTGGGTGCCCCATCTCCCCCCAAATCCGGGCTCCAAACAGAGCGGGGCCCTTCTCTCCCGAGATGCCCATAAAAGTGAAGAATTTACTGTCCCAGACCCAGATGGCCAGGCTTTTAAATGTTTCTTCCCCCCACCCCCGAAGTGTCCCTGGGCCCCTTGCCTGGCGGGGCACTAGCTCTATCGGCTGGGTCTGGTTTGCTTTGTAACTTGCTTTTATGGGCAGCCTAGGCCCAGGGGCTGTTTGCAATTCTTCTCCCCGGGGCTTTGGTGGGGGTGGGGGGAAGGAGTGGCCGTTAGTAGTGCCCACTCCCTTTCCCTTTTTGGTGGTATATAATTCGTTTCCTCAAGTGGGATCCATGCTTAGGCACAATAATTTAGGTGCCTGGATAATTCAGCAACAGAAATGCTTTAAACTCTGGCCAAATTGTGTCAGACGGGGTCCTGCCTTAGTGATCAAGATTCCCAGATCTTCGGGACTTTTTAGACTTCTTGGGTATCCAGAGCCAGAGGTTAGAGACCAGGGATGGGGCGGAAGTCTGTGCCCTCTTGGTTTTCCACCCCCTCCACTTCCCTCATCCCCGTCACTGCCCACTTGGGTCTCAACACCAACTAGCCGGGAAAATGGGCTGAGGACCTCGGGTCGAGGAAGCGGCCTCTCAGCGAGGAACACCAGCCACAGGTTGAGGCTCCCTGGGCTTGGAGGAGAGGAAAATGCAAAAACAAACGGTTCCTGGCTTTCGGGCTGACTAGCCGGTTAGAGGAATCGCCCTTGGCCTGAATTTCGAATCCCATAGACATTCGAATTTCGGATCCCCCAGACATTCGAATTTGGAATTTTCAATTGTGTCGAATTTCGATGGAACGCTGTACCATCGCTCCCGAAGGTTCAGGTCCAAAAGAGCGCATCAACCCCACACGCATTTTGTGTTTCCTTTCCCACTCTTCTTATTTACTGGGTAATCCGACGCATTGGTAGCAGCGGGGGAAAAAAATCCAGATTTTTAGGGCAGATAAATTTAACGATTTAGTTTTGCTAGGATGCGAAATATCTCTGCCAATTGCCATATTAAAAAGGGCAGAAGTTCGGAGGAAACTCCTGACTCCGGCTTTTTTTTTCCAAGAACGGGAGTCACCTGTCCCACGCGTTCGAATAAGGTGAAGGTCGGGACCGCTTCTCCCTTTTATTGCCAGCCCTTCTTGGGGCTCAGACACTCTCGTGAGGTTCAAAAATGGCTTCAAATGTGTTTATTTTGTGCATGTAAGTACACAGTACACATATGCGTACCTATATGAAAAGGGAGAAATAGTAAGTTTCTAAAGTGATTTGTCCATTTATTATTTTTTTTAATCTGAAAGCGGGGGAATAAATCAGGGGAATCGATTCCTGAAGACCAGGTTACCTGCTCCGAAATTTTGTCTTATGCTATCGGCTTAGCCCGGGTTCCGAGTCTTTGTTGGTTCGGAGCCAGACCGAACAGTCTGCTGTGAGCAGAGAGTTATGCTTTGAGAGGGGCGATCAGGATCATTGCGAGTCCCATAGAGTGGGACAAGAAACCCGCAGGATGAGTCAGGGGTATTCTGTTTCCTAGTCCCAGTTTTCTGGGGGAGAGTCGCGTGTGTCCCCACCCTAGAAAAAAGGGGCGAGTCACCATCCGTTCCTCCCACTCTCCCCATACACTACTTTGGTGACCTCGGTCTCGCCCCACCCCTCACCCCCCACCCCCATCTACCTTTGTCGGATTCTTGAGTTTCAATCCCCCTTCCAGCTGGGTGTAGGGTGCTTCTTGCCTTTAAGCCTCTCAGACCCTCTTCCCTATCCTGGAGGCCAGACTAAAAATATGAATTTTGATTAGCTCAGAAAAGTGGAGCACCCCTCTTCCCTCAGGCTTTCCTAGGGGAAGAATCCCAGAACCGGGGCTCGGTGTGATTGCTTGTCCTCTCCCTGCTTCCCCCAGACAATCGAGAACATCAAGGTGACTCTGCACGAAAAGGAACTCTGGAAGAAGTTTCATGAAGCGGGGACCGAGATGATTATTACCAAAGCCGGCAGGTCAGTTTTTGTGGGAGTATTCTTTGGAGATCTTGAGAGTGAAGTTGGGAGAGTCAGTCTTATGCAGGGAGGAGTCAGGTCTGAGAGGCCGACGTCCCCTCATCCCCTGAACCCTGTGCTAGTTTGGCCCTGGGCTGAGCGCCCAAACTGGAACTATAAGCTCAAATCTTAACCACCCTATCCCTCAACCTCCCGCTCCTCACCCCCCACCCCAACCCCACCCCCGACTCCCGCCAGGGATTAAGCTGTAGCAGCTCAGGACCCTGTAGACGCCAACTGTCTAGATCCAGGCCTCAGCCCCAACCCTTCTAGGAAAAACTTTGTGCTTTCCCGCGAACTGGAAATCTGCTAGATATGGTCGGAGGCAGATAGAACTATGCAAATAGCATGCAAATATCGCCCAAGACTCTTGGGCCTCCAGTTCTGTAGTTCTTTAGTCTCTGGAGAGGGTGGACTTTTCAACCTCGAGGTCTCCCTCCAGCTGCCGCAGACTCAGCATGGGGAGAAAGAGAAGAGGACTTTGATTTTCTTCTGCCCCCCCCCCCCCCCCGCTCTCCTCAGGGGATAGCCTAGCGGCTCCAAGTTCTCTGGATTTAAATGAGATGCTTCCAGGCAGAAGGAAGGGAACCCGCGATACGCCTGAGTTGGTCCAGTGTAGGCGGGGCAGGAGGGGAGAGATCTTGGGACTTATCTCCGCTCTGATTTGTAAGGTTTTTGTCCAGTAGGCAGGTGCTGGGGAAGGGGGACGGGCAGCCAACTCAGCGGGCAGGTTAAGCAAGAGCTCCATCCTTCTCTCGGTGAAGGAACCCTCCTCCCGACCTACTTATGAGAGGCTTGGGGCGGGGGGGGGGGGGGGCCCCCGGGGGGGTTTCTCCCCCCCCCCCCCCCCTGGGGGGAAGGGGGCCGATGGGGTGTGGGGGTGTGGTAAGGGATAGGGGGGTGGGGGCCAAGCAGCTCTCGGGGTGGCTGCCAGAAGGGTGATTTATAAAGTGGAAACATCTTTAAAATGCGATGGTGTTTGTGGGAGAGAACAGGGATGAGGGGGGAGAGATGGAGGGTGAGACAGCCAGAGAGATAGGAGGAGAGACACTCAGACTGCGTGTTCAGGACCAAAATGAAGGGGTGAGGTGAACAATAGATCCGATGAATTAGATTTGTGTGTGCAGTCAATCTGAAAACACTGATTCAGATCTCCCATACTTCCCACTCCCCAATAGCAGGGTTTGTTAGAAACCATTTCTTTGCCTGGTAATTCCAACCCCCCTACTTTTAATGGCGTCATGGGTAGTAGTAATACCTACAGTAACATCGGTTACTACAGCGAAACCTAACTCTCCCTCTTTGTAAAAATGTTTTCCCTAGCTGTGCAACCAAATTTCAGAAAAAAATTCAGGAAAGCAATTCCAAATCTTCACATCTCATATGACATTATGTATGTGTAAATCACTTTCTAAGTGTACTTTATCGATACGAGTTACAGTCATCATCATCATTTATTATTTAGTGCCGAGGTGAGAGCGTGTTCCCTTCAAGGGGAGTCAGACAGTTACTTGCTCCTAACCTATCTCCATAGTATCAGCTTCAATTTTCCTCTTTATTTTAGTCCGGGAGATGATGATGGGTAGAAGTGTTTTTCTTCCTCCCCTCTTCCCAACCCCCAACACACACTCTTTCCATATTGAGTCAACCCTTCTCACGTGCTTAATCTGGGGAAATATGGTGTTTCATTCTTAGAGGGACTCTCTGCAGAAACACAACTGGTTGCCTTTCTCGGGTGGGGAAAGAGGAGTTTTATCGTTGTGCCATGGTCTTGCAGAGCCTCTCTCCATGTTTTGTTCTGTCCCATTTCAGGGATAGGGCTTTAGGGATAGTGAATGGAGAGAGGAATGAGGGTCCAAGTCCAGAATTGCTCATTTTTAGGGGAGTAGCCATAGATGACATTTTCATGGGAAGATTGCTTGAGATTACTTGAATGATTGAACATTCTCAGCATGCCTGCACCTCTGGATGGCAGTTAAAGCTCCAGACACCTCAACTTCAAGGAAGAAAGATGCTTGTGGCCCTCACAGGTGTTTTCTCTGTCTGTCAGTAGCCCCAGGGCTCAGAGAGGGGAGACCTTCCAGCTTTAGGCAGATGTTGGTGAGTGAGCCTGGCAGAAGTTCAGGGATGAGCAGCTGAGAATAATAACAATAGTAAATAGTGGCTGTGATGATAAAAATTTTCCTTCTTGCTGATGGGTCAGAGAAGGGGGTGAGGGTGGGGGGAAGCCCTTCCTTTCCCAACAGAAAGTTATCTATGCTGTAAATCTTCTCATTAAAAAAAAAAGTCATGTAACTGGCCCCACTTCCTCTCAATTGTGCTTCCCCCTTAGCTCCTGTTTCTCAGAGAAGACACTCACCTCCCTGATCCTAGTTCCTCCTCACTTACTTCCTCTTCTCATCATCCCACCTGAAGCCCTCTCAAGATAGCAACTCACATTTACATAGAACTTTGCAAATGCTCTCTGAATGAGATTTAAAAAAAAAAGTTTCATTCTTGCCTTACACCAATAATTTTTCTTAAGTCCCACCCCCTAATCTTTTCTCCTAACAAAGGAAAAACATTTAAGAAAGGCTGACACAGAAACCTACTCTGACCAGAACACCAAACTCTATATCCTTAGTCCCCACCTCTCTACTGAGAGGTAAATGAGATTCCTTGTTGATTATCCATGCCCTAGGTTGTTCATTACAATTCTTCACTTAGATAGTTTTTTATGGTTGTTAGTGTTTATATTATTGTGGTTATTGCATATATATCATTCTCTTGGTTCTGCTGTTTTCATTCTGCATCAGTTCAATCAAGTCTTCTCATGTTTTTCTGAATTCTTCATATTCATGTTTCTTACCAGTGCAGGAAATATTCCATTACATTCATATTGAATGTTCAATCATTCCTCAACTACTAGGTGCCTGTTTTGTTTCCAGTTTTGTTTTTGTTTTATTATTAAGGGTGAGTTTTTTTATATCTCCTTACATTTTTATTTTTTTAATTAATTTTTATTTATCAATAATCACTTCCATATGCTTTTGAGTTTAAAATTTTTCTCCCCCTTCCTCCCCACCACCCTCCCCAAGACGATGCACAATCTGATGTAGGCTATACATATACATTCCTATTATACATATTTTCAAATTAGTGATGTTGTAAGGAAGAATTAGAACCAATAGGAGGAACAACCAGAAAGAGGAAACAAAACTCAACAGAAGAAAAAAAAATCAAATAGTATGCTTTGATTTGCATTCACACTCCATAGTTCTTTTTTTGGATGTGGATAGCATTTTCCATCACGAGGCCTTTGGAGATGTCTTAGCTCCTTGTATTGCTGGGAAGAGTTGAGTTTATCAATATTAGTCATCACACAATGTGATTGTTATTGTGTACAACGTTCTCCTGGTTCTGCTCACTTCACTCAGCATCAGACCATACAAGTCTTTCCAGGTTTTTCTGAAGTCAGCCTGTTCATCATTTCTTATAGTACAGTAGTATTCCATTACATTCATATACCACAACTTGTTCAGCCATTCCCCAATTGATGGGCATTGAGGGTGCATTTTAAATCTTTGCAAACCCTTACTAAAAAACCTTATCAAAACCATAGCCTTTTATAACAAACCTTTCATATTTTCTAATAAGAAATGTCAAGAGTCCCCAAATCTAATGTTTGTAAAACCTTTTTACACCATCCTTGCCTATCTGGGATAACCACAGAGTAGGAGAGTAGCAGAGTAACAGAGTTGACACAAACATATTTTAAAGGATTTTTTTAAAAAAGGGATTTTTTTGGTCCAAGTCATTTGAGAGTGTTGTCCCAATTCAGTAGGCTGGGCAGTAGACTTTGCCTTCTTTGCCTATGCAGGCAGAGGTACATGGCACTGAAGCATTCTGAAATAAAGGTCATAATTATAATAGCTCCTATTTTTCTGAGGCAGGAGTTTTTAACCCGTCATCTCTGGATTGGTTTTTTGTTTGTTTTAATATGTTGATAGCTTTCAATATAATTGGTTTCTTTCTTAATCTTATGTTATTTTCTTTTATGCATTTAAAAACATAACTGAGAAATCCATAAGCTTCACCAGACTGCCAAAAGGGTCCATCATCTCACTCTCAAAGGTTAAGAACTTCTGTTCTAGGGTCCTAGAGTTGACAAAGTGATTTCCTTATAACATTCATTAGAAATGGGTCATGCAAGTCTTATTCTTCCCATTTCATGGATGAATAAATGGAAGTCCAGCAGAGGTTTGTGACCTTCCCTTGGTCACACAGCCAGGAAGTGGGGCTGGGGCTCAAGTCTAGGGCTCCTAACAATCTCTTCTCTAGAAGGGGGAGAATGAAAGAAGTTTCTGTCTTCCCTGGAGGAGGAAAAGGTTGCAGTGGAGACAGATGTTCGGACAAGGTGAGCTTGAATATCTTCTTCCTAGCCTGAATCCTTTTTAGTCCCGGGTTTCCTGCTCCTTGTGGCAGGAGAGTAGAGGGGGTCCTTTCCTATTTCATTCCTTTGAAGATTTCATGAGTCTATTTTTCTCACTGTGGCTGTTTTGACAATACTCTCGCTGATAAACAGCTGCAGTCACAGCACCAGCGGTCCAGGGCCAGGTCTGAAAGCGGGAAGGAACCATTCCAAGGCAGGTGTAGAAGAGATAAACAAATAATCTCATGAAGACAAAACAAAGTAAGGCCAGTTAGACCCTCTGCCTCCTTACCTGCTCTTAGGAGAATCGGATGACTCTGATCTGGGGAGAAGGGACCCCCCACCCCCCGGTTCCACACCGCCCCTCTTCTTCTCCCTTCTTTTTACCCAGTCTCTTCACCATCCCTTCTCATATCCTCCTTTCCCTCTCTCTATCCCCCCTCCTTCCTTCCCTCACCTCCTCCAGCGAAGCAGTGTGTGTGCGAGAAATAGCATTTTCTCCCAAACTCAGATAAAAGTGAGCTTCACAAAAATTTAAATATAAACGTCC